TATAAATTACGACTAGGATAATTAGGTAGCGCTTCTATTAATAGCTTAGTTCGTATATAATAATATAGTTAGTAAAAGTATAAAAGAATCTTCGTTTTACCTTAATTATAGATTTTAGTTAATAATATATAGAGAAGTACGATAAGGACTATAAGCTATAAGAGCTATAATAAACGTAAGTAAACTTAAGAAAATTTATAAATAAGCCTTATTAAACCTCGAGTTTATATAATAATATATAAAAAAGAACGCGGATAAATTAAGGATTAGAGGACTATTTTTAAAAAAGGGGAATAGTACCTATCTCTTTTATTATAATATTAAAACGAAATAACTAAGTAATAAATTAGATTATAAAAAACTTAAACCTTTCGAAATTATTAAGAAAGTTTTATTAATTAATTACGAATTAAGATTATTAAATATAATGCGATACTACTCTATATTTTACGTTTTATTACTCGAGCTTATACTAAAAGGTTTATATACGGAAAATTATATTATTATTAAACTAAACTAACTAGAATATAAAGTTAAACGAATTATCGATTATAAAACTAGAGATAATAAAAAAGAATTCTTTATTAAATAGAAGGACTATAGATATAAAAAAATATATAGGAACTTATTACGAACCTTTAGAACTCTCGGGAACTCCTTTTAAAATACTAAAATTAAAATTAAAACTAGAACTTCTAGCTATTATAGTATCCTAGTTAATTACTCCGAAAGTATTATTAGATTGTGCTTCCCGCGTAATAGCTAATTTATTTTTATTAATAATATTAAGAGGATTAGGAATTACTTTCCCTCTTTTAAATACTATCCTTTTTTTTTAAAAAAAACGATTTAATTTTAATAAAAACTAATCTATTTTAGCCTATGCGTAATATAAAGCTTTTACCTATTTTTAAAAAAAAAGCTCTTTTATTTCTTCCTTACGTTCTAGTTTATTAGTTTTAAATAAAAAACGATTTACTATAAGTACGATTAATATAAAAAAATACTAATAAAAAGGAATAACTTATAATCGTATATAATATTAGTAGTTACGTTATAAGAACGACTACGACGTATATACTCGTAATACTTTAATTTATTTTTTAGTATTTTATATTTTCGCTCTAACGAACGATAGAATAAATAAGGTATTATAATTTTAAATCCTCGCTCTTTAATTTTAAGAGTAAGTTTTAGTTAACGATATATTAAAAATTTAGTAAATATCTTAGTATTTTTAAAAAATTACTTAACGAGCCCTAACCTAGGTTATAACGACTTATTTATAAGTTTATAAGGATAAGACTTTTAGAAAGGAGACCTAATATTACGACTTAATATATATAACTAAGACTAGGGCCCGCCCCGTAGGCTTATAGTAGCTATAATATATTATATATATAAAAATACGGGAATATAAGGTAACTCTTATAGAATAAAAAAACTTTAAATAAGTTATATATAAATAAAAAGTAGTAATTACGTAATAAAGTAATTATTATAATTATTCTAAATAAGCGCTTATTAATATTTATTAAGCGATTATTTAATAAATAAGAGTAATTATTAATAAAAAATATATTTATGAGTAGATTTACATATAGTATAGATTTAAGCCGGACTTAAAAATAAACTTCTTATAGCTTTTTTAATAATTAACTTAGTATTAGATCTTATAATTATTTTTAGCTATTTTTATTAAGAACTTTTTTTAATAAGATTACGATTAATTACCGAAGCCTTACTTACCTTATAACTTATAAATATAGCTTTAGGGAAGCTATTTATAACTATAATACTATTTACTTAGTATTCGTAGCCTTAACTTTTATTAATATACTCACTACGACTAACTAGCCGTAATATATAGCTATAATAAATATACGTCTTCCTCTAGTTCTTTTTTATTAATAAAAAATAACTAATTAATAATCTCTTTTTTTTTAGCCCGAGCCTAGTAACGAGGAATATATTAACTTAGTAAGCGTATAACTAGAGTAGTAATAGTAATAGTAGCAGCATTAATAACAGTACTAATAATATAAAGAGTCCCCTAAGTAGTAATAGTACTACTAGTAGTAAAAAAAAACCCCTAAGAGCCCTAAAGGGCATTAATAATACTACGATAGCTATACATATTAATAGTACTAATACTATAATAATTCTAAAAAAAATCGTATAAGTTACGATAATATAAAAAAGGCATTTATAGTATTTAAATTAATATAATCTCTATTATTAGTTATATATTTTCGTATAATATTATTATTACTTAGATTTATATAGGAAGAATATAACCTATTTATAACTCCTAAAACTCCCGATAACTCTATAGCGACGATAATTCGGGTAGTAACTATCGTATATATGACTACTACTGTCGATAGTTACTCGAGCATTATGGGGGAAGCAACCTGCCCCCTCCTCCCGGTAAGGTAGGACCAGGTTGCTGACGTTCTGGTGCAATATCTCGCAACCATGTGAAAGTGGCCGGGTTTGGGCGTGTTCCATGTCGTTATCAATCAACGTCGATGCCCGACAAAACCCATGAACCCCCCTGGGCCCTGACTCAACAAACAGTTTCTCTACCATCGTTCCATGTCGGATGTACCGTGTTCTCCCTCCCTTGCTGCTCCGTGCACGGAACCCGACTGGACGGGTCTGGCCCGGCGTATCTTCCGACGGGCTACCTCCGGCGGCGCCCAACGAAGAGACGGCCGGACCACCGTCGACGAGTCGTGCAGCGAAGCCAAGGTGCAGGGGCGAAGAGGGTTCGCGGCCCTGAATTTCGAAAAGCAATATAGAATAAGCTTCATTCCTTTCGGTCTGATATTTTTTAACACCCTTCGATTAATCTATTCTAATCGCCGCCGGCTGACATGGCAATCTATCGCCATGCTACACATTCAACCACTCAAGAACGTGAGTGTACGTTGGAAATTCTGCAATGCAACCACCATCGGCAGGGCCGTATATGGAAGCTAGGGAGCTCCCGCACCTCTATGGACGAATAAGGCAAGTCATCGCCAGAGTCTTGGCTCGAGAAGAGGTCTGCCATGGTATCAGATAGATAATGGTCTGCCCACCGCAATTGAATACATCACGTCTTTGTGCCCCGGCTTTATAAGGATACAATACGCAGAACAGGCATCGAAATAGCGAGCTTCTCGATGCGGCATTTCTATCGCCAATAAAAGGAGATGAGATAGGTGCTCTCCACGACCGGAGACATATGCAGTGCCCCAGTTTACTGTTGATGTAGTCATCAAGCAGCAGGTGCCAAGACCAGAAACTGCAGACATTGGCCATTCTCGGTAAAGGGATTAGTCTATCTACGACGTCCCTCTCTCTAGTGTCCCAAATTTTCACAAGTGATCACTTACAGCTTCATTGGTAGAAATTGAATGTTTCAATGCCGGGCCTATCGTGGCCGAATTTGAATCTAGATAGGTGCATGTGGCAAAGACCAAAGACTGCTAGACAAGATATTGCGTACTTGTCTAGGCCCGCGCTGAAAGCCCTATCTCTCCATTGAATAAGAATAGAAACATTAAAAACTTGCTCCATACGACGGGGCTGGCAGCGCCCCGTAATCCCGTGCCCTCGACAGTTACGAAACGATGACCCCTGGGACCGGCCTGTCTCAAGGAGTTGAACAACGCAGACACTAACACCCGGTATCCACAATCAAAGAGCCCCTCGACTCGAGGTATCCGTACACCTAACGCGGATATATTGCTGTCTAGAACAGTTCCACCTATTGGTGTTTCCGCGAACCTCTGAACTGTAAGAGTTTCACTTCTGGGTTATTATTGGCTCTCTACTTCGCCTGCCAGGCTGCTAGCTAGATAAGCTAATGTGAGCTGCAAAGTCAGCAGCCGCCCATGGCAGCCTATCACGAGCACCGAAATTTCAACGACATCGATGATCGGCTTCCTATTTGTGTTGGTGTTTGTGACCTCAACGGTCGCAGCTATTTCAAGACAACCAGATATAACTTGTTCAAACTTCAAAGGCATCACTGATACCAAGGCTCGTAGACGATCCCAGAATCTTACGAAAATTTCACGGAGCAGGCTTTAGCTCTTCTTCCTACTTTGTGCAAGTTATTTACACTCATTGATACAGTCGGTCAGTGGTTTGGTCGATCTTTCGAGCAATAACCCTCTTCTTGTTAAGCTCGTGCGATCTTGCATCGATTAAATTGAAGTTATGGACGTGTAGCTTGGAATGTTCATACCTTACAGAGCCTAGAGTAACCCATACAAATCTACAATGCAAATGGAGACCATTTTAATATCGAGAGTAGTAGCGGCCTGATGTTTGACATTAAATTATATTATTTGACCCCTGAAATCCCGCCGACTCCGATCTACGGAGACTGTCTTGAACAAAGGCAGTAATAGATGGATTCCTGTCCTTCGTGGACACATACAGACGTATCCCTCAGTACCCTCCATCGAGGAGATGTCCAGGAACTTCTTGACTGGTCCACGGGCACTGCTACGGGCATTTCCAACTTCAGCTCAGGGGATCACTGTATTGAGCGATGGAACCCCCACTGTCCAGAGCCGGTTTGACAGCAAGACGGCGGTGAAAGACACAGGTTTCGTAGACTCACCCCGGTGGATCAGGGGTTGGTTTACCAAATGCTCGTGAACCTTGAATCAATTCTCAGTAACCGCTGATAGATGTGCAAACATGTACGAAGATGACCTTGATGGCTTGAAGGTTTGATCTTCGTCATCCTATTGGCACAGGTACTGTCCATCGCTCGCCCTGCGTTACGATAGAAACGGCGGTCTTTTCCAAATAGATAAACGCCAGCATAGGGGGCAAGAATCACAATCCCACTCGCTGCTCATTCAGTGACTCGCCAGTCGAATTTTTATGTCAACAAGTGATTTCCATTCTGTGACTACCGTACAAACTATACACACAAACGCTACGTATCCATTCTTTAGAGGACGGCTAATATCCAAAGTCCCTCTCAAAGCGTCTTACCACAGCTCGCAAGTGGGCTTCTTGTCCTTGCACTGGAAGCTCTCCTTGAACTCCCGACTGTTGGACATTGTGCCAAGAATACGGGCCCACTTGGGCGCATGAGGATCAGTATAGATCCGGTTGATGGCCGTATCCTTCCGAGACATGCCACACCACCAGTTGGAGTACGTGACGAAGAAGAGCTGATCTTGCGTGAAGTGCTCGAGGCCCGGCAGATCCTTGTTGGGGTGCTTGTGGGCACGGCGCTTCCAGGCCTGGTATGAGGCCGAGAGTCCGCCGGCATCCGCAAGGTTCTCGCCAAGGGTGAGGCGTCCGTTGACGTGGAGAGGCTTGTCATCCGGTCCTGGGACAGAGAAGTTGGAATACTGATCGACGAAGCATTCAGCTTTGTCCTTGAAAGCCTGCACAGTGGCGTCGGACCACCAGTCAGTGTAGTTGCCGTTCTGATCATAGTGGCGGCCGGTGGAGTCGAAGGCGTGGCTGAGCTCGTGGCCAGCGACAGAGCCAAAGGCACCGTAAGACATATAGGCAGGGACTTCGACGTCGAAGACGGGGAACTGCATGATGCCCGCCGGGAAAACGATTTCGTTGCCGGGAGGATTGTAGTAGGCATTGACGGTAGGAACCGTCATGCCCCACTGCTCTCGGTCGACGGGCTTGCCGAGGGCTGACCACTCGTAGCCAACAGCAAACTTGCGAACGGCGAGTGCGTTCTTGAAGAAAGTCTCTGGGCTGATGTCGACGGAGTTGTAAAAGTCGTTGAGGCTGGGAGGATTCATGATGTCGGGGCTCTTCGTAGGGTAGCCGATCTTCTGGATGATGTTCTGAACCTTCTCCATGGCCTTGGTGGTTGTCTCCTTATCCATCCACTTAGCGGCCTTGAGCTTCTTAGTGAACTCTGTCTTGATGTCGGTGATGATGGTGTCGCCGAACTTCTTTGCCTCTGCCGAGAAGGCCTTCTCAACGAAGAAACGGCTGAGAATCCAGCCCAAGCCGTCATCGACGTGACCAACACATGTGCGCCATCTTTCAGGGGCAGACTCGGGGTCCTAGATATTAATCAGTATCATACTGGTCGAATACACAAGTTCAAGCTTACCTTCCCAGCGAGCTCATTCTTGAAGCGCTTGTAAGGCTTGAGAGCATCGGTGTCAACGTAGGAAGAAAGGGACTGGACAGCCTTCCAAATGAAGTAGTTCTGGATAACCTCCTTGTCGGTCCCGGAAAGAATTGTAGACAACTCGGTCATGTACTTGGGTGACATCACGATGACACGCTCAACGACAAAGCCCTCCGGGACGAGATCATGGATCAATGCCGTAAGCTCAATTTCCGGAGCAAGGGCAGATGCCTCGTCGATGAGCATTGGGTTGTAGGTTTTCTGCTCGAATGTCAGTTTCTTCAGATTCTGGTACAGAGATGTTCCTTCAACTCACAGTGACATCCTCAAGCTCCTCGGTGGGAGGAGAGGCGGCTGCCAGAAGCTTCTCGAGATCAACAACCTTGGCAAAGTTGTCCTTGTTTCCATCAGGGTAAATATTACCGAGAACCTCAACTGCAACTCCGCGGTACTTCTCAACGAGCTTCTCATCTTCGTATCGCTCCTTTGAGGGAAGTCCCAGGCTGTATGGAGGTGCGACAGAAACAACGACAGTATCGGGGTCTCTGTCATCCGCACCAGTACCGGATGCAACGAAAGCGTTTACTCCGTATCTGGATAGAAGCAGAATTGTGTCTTTGGTCGGACTCGAGTCGACAGAGGCAGCCGCCTCGACTGGGTAGCTTGTCTTGATCTCGTCTAGAATCTGAATAAGGGGCTCGACGCCGATCTCCTTGATTTTGTCCTCGTCAACACAAGCATCGTACGCAGCCTTCATCTTGTCAAAGTTCTGCTCATCGGCGGACTTGTCCGTGGATTCGAGACGGAGGGGCGAGAAGTACGAGTGCTAGAATTCGGTTAGCAGAGGTCGTGGGCCATAGTTTGACAGTGCTGACCTGGGAGTCCTTTGGGTAGGGAGCCTCAAGAATATGACGAAGCAGCAGCTCTGAGTTCTCGGACATGATCGTGCCGGTGAAGGCATCGCCTTGGTCGGCACGGAGGTCGTGTCGGTCCCTCCATCCTCCGCAGACAAGCTCCTCAAAGTCGTTGCATGGGTCCAGGTCCTTGTAGTTCGGCGACAAGTTGTACAAAATCTCAGAGGCGGCATGGACACAGGCTGGTGTCATGCAAACGGGCGTCTTCTCTTCGTGGATGGGTTTCTGGGCTACACCAACAGACTTTAGTAGCTGTCAACAAATCGCCTGAGGGATCCTAACCTTGAGGGATGTTATAGTATAGCAAGCCGGCAGCAGTAGCCAGGACGAAGACCTTGACCACAGCTCTTCCCGCAGAGCATCGTTGGGCGTACGGGCATCGCTTGGGCCGGCCGTAAGACACGCCCTGCTCCGGCTCTGGGATAAGCGGCGCCTTCTCCGACATGACGGGCGATTGCGTGATGAGGGCCTATTGATAAAGCTCTGGCGATAAGGCGATTAACGAAACCAGCCAGCTGAGAATCGAGATGGGTGTGTGTTGATAAGGGGAGATCCAATGACTGGATGGATGGTGGTTGCGGATGGGAGGTGGATCGCGTGAGATCTGATGGAGCTCTCGGAGCTTTGGGGGGAGCTTGGAGCTGGAGCTCCTGGGCGATGACGCTTTGATGCGGAGAAGCAGCTGGAGTGCAGCTGACGGGGCGACTTAGCCGAGGCTACTTCGCGTGTGGGCAAGATTAGCAGCGAATTTAAGTACCTCGGGATGGAGCTAGGATGCCTGGGACTGGACGTGCGCCGGGGAAACTCCGCTCAAACTTGGACCCTCGGCTTCTGAGGCCACTCACTCATCTCTCACTCACTCATGAATCTCATGATGGCTAATGAATGGTAAGCTTCTCACTGGACCACTCAGTTTGCGCAGTACAGAATCCGTGGTTGAGCCCCTTCTTTCCGGATATTATACACCTTGGACTCTCAGCAGTAGATTGTGCTTGAAACTCACACCTCCCGCCTCGATGCACCACCATTGCGCGTCTAGTGTCTCATTCCCTCAGGGCATGTCTGTTCCTGCAGTAGTGTTTTACAGTAATCTGATCTTCACATATGATCGAGTACCTATAATCTTTACATCAAAGACTGGATAGACTAGGCTCCGTGGCGCTCGGTGGACTTTTCGGCCGGCCCAGTGTGGCGTTTGGTTGTGGCTTGTAGTTGAAGCCTCTGGCCTGAGTCCTGACTAGAAAAGACTAGCCTTCGACGGAGGAAAGCCATCTTCAAGAAGTACATCTCCAAGTTGCTTTGTTTGTTCAGACTGGATGAATATTCAATGTCACGAATCACGCAATCATGGATATCCCGGACATTCCGGATCAATAATCATTCATCGAACATCGAGTCCAGCGGTTCAAGATTTCCGATAACGGCTCGAAGCGTCCCGAACACTCCGAGCTCACCCTTCGGTTTCTCGAGCATACATGGCCGATGGCATCTTTGCAAGAAAGAATACCAACCAACTCATCATGCGCGTGACTACGTACGCCAAGCTCTACCCCACGCTTAAGATCACTAAATTCATATTACCCCTCACTGCCAGCCAATCCTCCGAAGATATAAGCTGCAGTCTCGTTGCTTGAATTCGGCTCATTCACCGCTGGCTCATGTTGCATTACATGAACGCTACGCCCGATAGGAAGTTCGTAGGATGTCACGTAGGCACCATGAGGTGCGGACAACGCGGGCTTTGCAAGTGAGATTGGCTCATGGTATTGGTCGAAGAAGACTCAATGGTCTTTCCTGGGTTTCTGCCTTGATTCTACATGCTTATGGAACTTTTGAGCCTTGTAAGAGGGGCTCATGATATGACGAGCATACGGTAATCCTCAAGACTGCATGTTTAAAAGTCAAGTAACTTGATCATTTAAGAACACTGGATCTTCGAGATCATCAAGGGAATCAAGGGAATACTGCAGTAGTTCCATTATGCGACAAACTCTTCTGTCATTGGCCTTGACGGCCACAAGTGTCTACGCTTGTCAGCGTGACTGGGCAGCGCTGAACCGCCGCATCAAGAGCCACAGTCACCACGATCATGGTTACAAGAAACGAGACATGGCAGTGGATTACCCACCTTCTCTCACGGAATACGAGTCTATACTTGTGAACTCCTTTGATAGCAAATCGCTTGACGAATGGTCTCACTACTATACGTCTGGAGATCATCTTGGCGGACACAACCGAACTCTAGCTGAGTGGACGCAACAAAAGTGGATTGATGCTGGCTGGGATGCTTCCATTGAGGAATATTGGATCTGGTATACTGCTCCTCTTGAGACTACCTTGACTTTGAATAGACCGGATGGAAGCGTCCACAATGTCAGTTTAATCGAGGACATGCTGGAGGAGGATCCTACTACTAGCTATCCCAACCGAATCCCGGCCTACCATGCCATGAGCGGAAGCGGCAACATCAGCGCCGAATATGTTTACGTCGGGTATGTTGACTCCAGAACCACGAAATAATCGCTGTTAAGGGTCCTAACTTTTGGGTGCAGTCGCGGACAACGCGGAGATTTTCAGGCTCTAAAAGATGCTGGAATCGAATTGGAAGGCAAGATTGCGCTGTCCATGTACGGTGCGATTTACAGAGGAACCAAAGTTAAGAATGCACAGGTATGTCTCACTCGTTCTGCGGGACGGTTCCAAGAAGTTGACAATTCAGGACAACGGCATGATCGGGGCTGTTCTTTTCACCGATCCTCTTGATGACGGAGAAATTACCGTTGCAAACGGCTACCTTGCGTACCCAGGTCAGTCCAGAACGGAGCCCCGTATGTCAGGTTCCACAAAGACATATTTGACTAAGACATTGGATGACTCTAGATGGTCCAGCTAGAAATCCTTCTATGATCCAAAGAGGCAGTGTCCGTTTCTCCTCACTGTACTCAGGTGATCCATCTACAGTCGGATATGCATCAGAGAAGGATGGCCCCAGGAATGATGTGACTCCTTACAACCCAACCATTCCATCTGTGCCCATCAGCATGAAGGATGCGGTGCCATTGCTCGCCGCTCTTGATGGAAGCGGCTTGTCCGCTGAGCAGGTCAACCGCAGCAGCTGGATTGGTGCACTGCCGAACATCACTTACAGCAGCGGTCCAACACCAGGTGCCACCCTTGATATGGTCCATTTCATGAACCAGACGGTCGCTCCCTCTTGGGATGTTATTGGTATCATCAATGGAACTCATCCCGACGAAGTCCTCATTATCGGGAATCACCGCGACGCTTGGGTTATTGGGGGTGCAGCGGATCCAAACTCGGGCTCTGCAGTTCTTATAGAACTTTCCAAAGCCTTTGGCAAGCTTCTGGACAAGGGATGGAAGCCCCGTCGTACGATGTATGTATGCTGCTTCTGTGTTCCTTTCTTCATGCAAGGGAGCAAAACTGATTCGACTTTTAGCATCTTGGGCTCTTGGGATGCTGAAGAATTTGGCCTGCAAGGGTCGACCGAATGGGTCGAGAGCCATCTGCCTTGGCTCGTGACGAACGCTGTCGCCTATTTGAACCTTGATGTCGCTGTTTCGGGCCCCCGAACTGCTCTTTCTGGGTCAGGCGAGATCCAAACGGTCGCCATTGAAATGATGAAGAAGGTTCTTTTCCCTGAAGGTTGGGGGGTTGGACCAACCTTGTACGACATGTGGTTCAACACTACTGAGGGTGAGATTGCTCCTCTGGGAAGTGGCAGCGATTATGCTTCATTTTACCACAATGGCATTAGTGCTGTAAGTCTTCTGAGATACCCCTGACGAGATAGCTGAGACTGATACATAAGTAAGATTGACATCGGATCAGACGGAGGCAAAACTGACCCGGTCTACCATTATCACGGGTAAAGCCAAGTCTTTCACGTGATTTTCATGACGCATATGACTGATGGAGAGTAGACACTACGATTCGTATACCTGGATGGCAAAGTTTGGAGACCCAGGCTTCAAGATTCATCGAGTAATGGGCCAGTGGCTCACCTTAGTCGCATATCACATCGCCGATGATGTGATTATCCCCTGGGATCTGCCCCATGCCGGACGCGTGCTACGAAACCATTACGAGGATCTCAATGAGACCGTCGCCGGGGACTATCCCGGCCTAAGTCTATCACCCATCCACGACGCGATTACCGAGTTCGAGACCGCAGCCGAGCGCATCGCCACAGTGGCCAAACAAGCCCTCGCTTTCAACGACACGGTCCTCATCAACGTTATCAACGGCAAGTACCGAGATTTCTCGCGTGGCTTCGCAAGCGCCGGCGGTCTCCCTGGACGCCCGACATTCCACAATGTCATAAGTGCTCCCGGTCTCGATAACGGCTACGGCGCCGATGTCTTTCCCGCCGTACAGGATAGTCTGAGCTCTGGCAATGAGACGCAGGCCCAAGAATGGGTAGAGAAGAGCGCATCTGCAATCTCCCGCGCAGCAGAGATCCTTGGCATCTGAAATGTATAGATCTGTGTGTTCTGTTTTGCGTTTTTTTTAATAGTATCTTACATAATGTGGATTGCATCTCAATACATCGCTCCAAAGAAATCTGAACATAAATCTGCTTTGCAGTACAGACAGGGTATTATCGATACTTTTCGCGCTCCTTCGCCAGTCCCATTAACACCAACAATGCCGTGTACGAATACAGGTGGTCAAATAGACGTTTACCAATCACTGAGTTTGCTTCCTTTCTGTGAGTCTCCGTACAACGAGCGATCACGATCGCTGGGAGAGATTTGCAACAAGCTATCGCTCGTAGTCAATCGCCTTAGCGGAACCCGGTCGGGCGTCAGGGTAGCGAACGAGTCCTTCTTCGTAAGATTCGCTGTCGAGCTCTCGGGGAGATCATCCGTCGCAATGGTCGCAATGTCCTGAGACACAATCTTGACGTTGCCGGAAGCTCTGGTGGAAGTTCTATTTGTGGAGATATTGGTGACGTAGAGTAGCTCGGGGAAGAGTCGTCGGACGAGAGCTCGGGCTGCTGGCATGCATGCCACGATTGTTCCAACGCAAAGCTCGATGTGGGACCATAGTGCCAGGCCAAAGAAGTCGTCTATTCATACGTCAGGAAGAGGAACTTTGAAAATCAAGGGTTACGTTAACTTACAGGTTGGGTTCCATGATTTGTTGAACTGTGCTACACTGCGCAAGCGAACGGCACTGACAATAGTGATGCTGTAACATGCAGATTAGTCGAAAGACATAGTAACAAACGAGGGTGGCTGGACTCACAAGATGCCAACGCCAAACATGGACATAATACCGGCTTTCTGCCTCTTCTGCAGGTTGAGCTTGTAGATCTGCGTGGCTGGTAGAACCAGCATCCAGAGATCAAGAGCGATGTTGATGGCCGCATGAGAGAGAGCCATGGCCGACAAGTCAATGCAATAACCGGGATGTCTGCCA